GAAGTGAACATTATCCCTATTTTCTTTTGCAGAGGGGTAAAGGGATGGGTGGGGAGGAGGAAGGGGTCTATGGTTCCAGTTCACACCAGTGTTTGTTGTGGGCATCCCGGGGCTAGGGTTGATTCCATGATGAACCAAGGTAAGCTGTCAGCCTTTGATTGATGTGTGCTGTACAACACAAAGATGTCCATGGTGGACCAATGCATCTGCTTCTTCTTGTGTGTTGATGAGAAGCCAGCCAAAAGAGTGTTCTGTGTATTCTGGGTTCACTGCTCAGGCTTGAAAAGACAGGAAGTAATATTTTCTAAAAATACTAGGCCTGATTCTCTATTGCTCGGCACCTTGTTTAGAAATTTACATTATTGCATAATTCTGACCTGGTAGCATTTTACACCTACTTTGCATTAGGCTGACTACACAAGGTAGAGGAATCAGGCATAATATATACACATTGGTCTCAATCTTAGGCCCCATGCTCCCGATATGGCATGGGGTAGAACTCTCCTAGCTCTTAAGATTTTGACCCTTTTAGGCAAAGTAGTGGTGGGCAGTATGCGAGACACCCATCTCTTAGTGGTTAATGTGAATCACCTCAAAATTTTCCAGCCAGTTCCTTCTTGACCATGGTCAGTGATGGTTTTTCCTGAAGAACCAATGTGCTGTCCTCAGTGGTTGTTTCTCCAACTCTCTCCTGACTCACTGTCTGGCCTTCGACAATCCATGCTTGTTAGACCAGCTTCTTCAGTCAGAACTGTAATAAATTCCTTTAGTTTTTTGCCTCTGGTGCCTTTCTTGTTGCTCTGGATTACTTAGTCCTGAGAATGTCATCTCATTCAACCCGTTTCAGTCATTGCATAGCTAGCTACTTTCATTATGATAGGCGTGTTCTCTGGGTGTTTTGGGTCCAGTTTCCATTTTAGTGCTTGAGTAAAATGTTATAACAGAATATTGGCACCCACCATTCAGGGCACCGTGTCTATTGTGGTTCTTTGCAGGATATTTTGTTGGAACTTTGGCACACCGTGTCTTGGCCCTTCAATTAATTCTTTCTGTCAATGCACTTTTCCTTTCCAGGATGTGCTCCTCTCCTTCTCTTACATTCTAAATCACTTTTAAACAATGAAATCCACTCTGCATGAGCAGGAAATCCATTGTAGGATAGAAGGAATTTTAATGCTCCAAGACTGTGGATGCTGCATTATCCAAAAATGGAGTGTGAGAGCAAAACACAGAAATATACCCTGTTTGGAATGCTGAAGAAGTGAAAATTATCCCAATTTTCCTTTGCAGAGGAAAGCAAAAGTAGTCCCTCAAAGAAATCATCAGGTGAAGGAGAGGTACCACCAATTCCAGAGGGACAGACAGAAAGAGTAGAAAAGCCGGTGGAAGGTGCGGAGTCAGATAGCAGTAGTGCCCGTGAGTATTGCCCCCTCCCTAAGAGTCATAGACATCAACTTAAAAAATCCTACTGCATCCTGAAATTGCTTTTGTTTGCTTACTGTTGTTAGAAGTAACATAAGGCCACAAAGATTAGATAAACAATTATTTTTTTCTACTTTTTCAGCTTGTTCACTTTGTGCACTTCACAGCACTTAATAAGCAGTCCATTTTGCTTTCCCATGGACAGTCTCTGCTCCCTTGGTTGTTTGTATTGGTGCGTCACATGATAACAGGGAGAGACAAACATGTTAACAAAAAAGATAATCTGACTGTAAAACAACAAGAATTGACAGAAATGACTAGGATTGAGGAATAGAACCTGAAACTCATGTTTATAGCTGACTACAATTCCTGCTGACAATATCCGTTCAATGCATCGAGCTCCAGTGAGGAACTATCTAGAGCAGCAGATTAGTAGAAAGCCTTTGTTAGCACAATGTCTCCATGGCAACCTGCTTTACGTGAAGGAGTGAAGTGCTACACGTTTGTACTGATTAGTCAGCATAATATTATGTGTTCAATATCTACTGAAGAAAGAAGCCTCAAACTTGGCTTGTTTTCCTAAATCTAACAAAGTTTGAATAAAACTGTCCCAGTAGCTTTAAGGTCTCAAGGTTTAAAGTCAGTAAAGATTACTTATCTTACAGATATTGACAGAAGTTGTCTGCTATGTGTATGGGGCAGTGAATTTTCAAATCATTCTTACCTTGGTTATTAAGAACCCAGATTTTTCTAATCTTAGAAAAACACATGCTATTCATTCGAGGCTATTCACGGGATAGGTTTCATAGTACAAAGATAGCAGATCTATTTTTAGACACTAGAGTGCATATCATTTATTTGGAGAGAGGAAAGAATTAATGAATAATCCACTTTTGCAGTTAGGGTATTGACATTTATACCTATCTGACTAAAGCTCTTTTTTGTGTCACTATTTCTGAAACACAGAGGAAGATGAGGAGCAGGAGGAGGATACTGAGAAATCCCCAGAGCCAGAAAAAAAGCCTGAGAAGCTAGAAAGGAAAATCTCAGAGACCTTCTTCTATAACTATGAAGATTTGTGCTCGCAACCCTTTGTGACGTCAGACTCTGGGATACCAATTAACCTCCTCACTCTCATGTATCCTCCTCATGCTGTATTGTATAGACTTAGATCTAGGGTTTTCTTATCTAAAAGCTGCAGTATATTATTTCCTCCAGGTGTAAGGGAGGAACAGGAAAGAATGTGTGATTTTCAGATGCACAGGTGGTTTTCCATTGGGACTCAGTGAAGTTGCTGTGAGGAAACCCCTCTTTGTCTCCTTTCTGCATCAGGGCAAGTCTATACTATAAAATTAAGTTGACCTAAATTACGTTGATGTAGAGCCACTGCAGTAATTGAATTGGTTTTGCTCATCCACACCACGCTCCTTGTGTTGGCAGTGCACGTCCTCACCAGGAGAGCTTGCACTGATTTAACTGCCAGTGTGGGGCATGGGGGGTGGTTTCTGAAAGGCAGCAACAGTCGATGTAAGCAACACAGTGTCTATACTGACACTGCATCGACCTAACAACATCGACTTAAGCGCTACGCCTCTCAAAGAGGTAGAGTTACTAAGTCGGTGTAGTGGGCAAGTTACATTGGTGAGAGCTACATTTTAGTGTAGACAATTACAGACTTAGGTTGACGTAATCTGCCTTACGTTGACCTAACTATAGTGTAGACCAGGCCTCAAACTGGCAGAGGGAGAGAGCTTGAGGGCTTGTCTACACGGAGCATGACTGTGTACTGCTGGGAGTCTGATTTCTAAAGCCCACTAATGTGTTGCACGTTAATTGGTTGTGTAGACCTTGCTGGTGCGCACCAGATGTCCCCTAGTGTACTTAACATAGACCATGCATGTGTGCACTATGTTAAAGTGCACGAGAAAACTTTTGGTGTACACCAGCAGGGTCTACATGACCAATTAATGTGAAACACACTAGTGCACTTTAGAAATCACCCCTCCTTCCACAGTACACATTACTTCTCCATGTAGACAAGCCCTGAGACATTGCTTTGGTTCTGTCTCTTGCCTACAGTGTGCTTTGTAATCTGATCAATTTCTTTTATATTTTATATGAAAAGAGAACATTAAGACAATAGAATATGAATTCTTAGGAGAGCTCCAGAGATCAGGATAGGCCATAAAAAATGGAGTCTGACATGGAGTTGGAGGGATGGTACATAAATCTTTTAAATATTTCATTTATATTTTCCCCAATTATTTGTAATACCTTGATGGGTTTTAGCTTCATCATGGCACCAGTCTTAAAACAAACCAAAGCCGGACCAACAGAGTAACAACCACCCAACTCAGTGTTCCCACCTGGGTTTGCTCTAGTTTTTAGTATTAATACCTTTATTGCTATTACGTGGAAGAAATAAACCTCAAGGTCTAAGGTCAATGCTTTTCCTTAGTGAGCTGTTCACAGACACTCTTTTGGTTATGACTGCACCAAAAGTGCAAACCTGCAATTGCTGGATAGTCAAACACTCCTCTACGTAGCAGGCAACCAACTGGTGCTCTTGGACCTGAAAACTAAATATCAGAGTTATCTCCGGAGCAGCAGCGGTGGTGGAATTGGCATTATCACGGTATGGCTTTTATTTGCCTCTTTAGGAAGAAGATCCCTTTCTAGAGTTTAAAACTTACAGTAGTGAAACAGTCTGGATGTCTCAGTTGTTTCACGGAAGATTTCCACAGTTGCCTGCATATTTGGGCTTGGATGAAAGAGCAGCATTGATTAAAGGGTGGAAAAGAAAAGTCAGTAATCTCAGATGTGTGACCAGTAGCAATCCATCAAGGTGTATTACATGGACCTAGCTGATTAATAGTCAGAGAACAAACAGCTGCATATCTTAAATAGGTCCAGGTTCCAGGCCATACTAATTGGCAAGAGTCAACTGGGTTTCACTTTTTGTTGTTTTTAAAATTTTATTTATTAAAATGCTCTGGATACAGTTTAATTGTTTTTGTTCAATACATCATCTATCCTGATTACACTTAATATTGGTTAAATGTTTCATCTGTCTTGAAATTTGGAATTTCAAGTACATAGTTAAATGGAGTGAAATGTTGTCCAATTTCACTGTAGCAAGCTCCTCTCTGTGGGCCAGATTATGAAACACTTACTCTGGTTTATCACCATCTTATTCCACAAATAGTCCTGTTGGATAATTGATACTATTCCAAGAAAGTAAGGCTATCAAAATCTGGCACTATGCTGTTTCGTTATATTGTAAGCAACACTTCTTGGAGAATCACATCCTCAATCTCCTGCACAGAGCTGGGTGATGTTTTTTTACGGGCAAATTAATTATTTGAGCTAAAATGCATTTTTCTATTGAGCAAAACTATTTGCAAATATGGGTCAAATTTGCATATAATTTTGGCTGAATAAAAATAATGGAAAAAATCAAAAAAGAGTTGAAACAGTTTTGACATTTTTAAAATGAAATATGTAGACTTTGTTTCAAAATTACAGTTTGCGTTGAAGTTTAGCTACATTTGTTTAAAAAAACCTTTAAAAGGGTATAAGCACCCAAAAAGTAATAAAATATAAAAATATTTTGGGTCAAATGAAACATTTTGTTCAACCCAAAACAATTTTTTCCTGTTTTTGTTTTGGCCACATAAGTGAAAAAAAAATTATTTGCTCAACTCCACTATTGTAGAACAGCCCCTGAATGTGCTGTTGCTAAGTTTGCTCCTATTCTCCAATAGTAGAAGGATAGCAGTGCCCTAAATGCTGTCCATGGAGAGATGGATTGGTGGGCTGAATGCAGGTGAGATGATCAAAGAAGCAGGATAAATGCAAATTATTGCATGGTTCCACAATGTGTGTGGTGGTATACAACTTGATATTTAGTTGAGGCCAGCCAAAGGGGATATCGGAGTATGTAACAGTCTTTGCTTTTTCTAGGTACATCCTAGTAAACAGTATTTTGCAGTAGGAGAAAAAGGATGGAAGCCAAACATCATCATCTATGAGTATCCCTCACTAAAGCCATACAGAATACTCCGAGGTAGGTTAAATAGGACTATTTCGGTATTACATGGATACAGCAGAGTTTATAGACTCCAGCAAGTGGAATAATGTTCCATTTTAGATCTTTTACTAATTATATAATCTTTTGGTACTTGAAAATCAAATACAGAGAACTGATTGTAAGTGGTTGTCCTTGCACTCTTGGGTGTGTGGAAAATAGCCAACTGTTGGCTGACTCTGCTTCAGCACTAGCCAAATAATGAGAACTGAGCTCTTTTTAAGCTCTTTGTGGACATCTGTTCTTCCAGGTGGGACTGAGGAAGCCTATGCATTTGCTGATTTTAACCATTATGGAACGCTACTGGCCAGCGTTGGGAGCAGCCCTGACTACATGTTGACAATCTGGGATTGGAAACAGGAAAAGATTGTGCTGAGGTCAAAAGCTTTTTCACAGGATGTTTATAAGGTCACATTCTCTCCTGAAAATGAAGAGCAACTCACCACTTCTGGAGCAGGACACATCAAGTAGGTTGGTTCACAAATATCAATTGATGGGAATTGTCAAAGTTAGATTCAGGACTCACAATTTGTTAGACCACTCTGTTTATTAGCACAGCACTTTGCTAATACATTCAGATAATGTGAGCACCATGCAAGACCCACACTACCTTATTTTATATAGATAAAAAGGGCGCAAACTTAACAAGAGGACAAAGAAAGCAGAACTGAGAAGTTTACCTGAAGCTAGACATACATATTCTATTTCCTTACTAACTGTTACAGATCTCCAGCTAATGTTCCACCATTAGCTTAAGTGGACTCATTGTTTATGCCTTAATGTTCCTTTTCCTGACACCTGTATTTTAACATTCCTTATTTCTGCTTAAAGGTACATACAGCATTTCTTTAATCCATTCTATTTTTACAATATAATTCATTCTACTTTCACAATCGCTCCTTTTGGTCAAGCTACGCAATGACCAACAATTACTGGGTTTTACGTATTAACCGTTCTTTATTTTTTTGTTTATTAGCGATATTTAAAATCATCATATTAGCACTCTGTTTTGGGGCAGTCACCTGGGTGGCATACCTTACACAATTCTGGATACAACAGGAGATTAACTGAAAACATACAAAAATCATTAGGATTTCAAACAGGATAGTCAGGGCTCCCTGAAACAACCAGTTTTTTATGCCAAAGAAATTGAACAGGTTACTTAGCCACTTCCATAAAGAACTCGGCTCTTCATGGGGAAGATATGCGATTTGTTTTAAGTGGCTAGCGCGATTTATTACTTTATTGGTGTCGTCAGGTATAAACACACAACATTCTTTTCCAATGAGAGCACAGGTTCCTCCTTTGGCCGCCAGCACTATGTCCAATGCCTGACGGTTTTGGAGGGCCATCTGTCGGATTGCCCCTGTTTCTTTGGCCAGGGCTCTTAAACTCTCTTCGGTTTTATTTGCTATTATTTTAACTACTGCTTGTAACCTTAAGAGCCTTTTTGCATGGTATATTACTCCCCCAAGTGGGATAACGGAACTGCCAATGGCCTTTTTCCAGGTTAAGGGGCTTATGTTATTTACATACCATTGGGCATCTGGTAAGTTCCTTCTTCTTCGCCTGAAATTACGGAGGCGTTCTTGTGGGAAGGACCCTAGCACTTGGAATTGTGGGAAGAGTCGGGCGGGATAACAGATACCTGACCAGTTAGCTGGTAACGCAGTATAAGCTTTGGTCCCACAAACCCAATGATGGCCTATTAAGGCCGGGAAGGGTCGGTTGCACCCATTTGTCACATAGGTGCCTGCAAAGGAGGAGTAATATTTTTCAAAGGGCACAGGGTAATTCTCCTTACGAGGAGTGGTGTTATTTGCATGGCATTGAAAGATTGTATTGTTTTTACTAAGGTTAATGTAGGGGGAACATGAGATTGATTTTTCTGTTTGATCCCAGGTCAAGAAAAAATTTATATCCCCATACCCGGCCCGCCACTCTTTAGTTTTGTTCGAATAATCCCATACACCATTTGCCACAATATGCCGAAGGCAATGGCTTTTTTCCAGATCCAGCCCTGTCCCATTACACACCCAACACCAATGACCTTTTACCTCCACCACACTTATCCATTTAGATACATTTATTCCCACTGCTTCCCAAGTGTCATTGCTGTTCCATGTTTTGTTAAACGGACAAGGTCCTCCAGTGAGGTCTGGGGAATTGAGTGGGATTGCCAGGACAGGAACACCAGCTTGAGAGTGGGCTGGGATGTGGCTGCAGACCCAGCAATTAGAAATATTAAGGGTCTGAGCTATCCTCACTTGCTGCTGGATAAAAGAATTGCCATTGTGGACTCCCCAGACCTTAAGACACCAGTAGCCGAGGAACAGGCGCCACCAGAGGCGCATGTTGGAGGCAAGGCCCTTCTGGTTCTGACAACCTTCAACTGAGGGAACCGCAGTCATGGTTTTATGTTCATCAGGCAGCAGGCGCTACTGCTTTTTTTTGGGCCTTGCTGTAGGTTGTCGTCTGCTTCTGGCAACCCTTACGAGAGCGAAGATTGTAAGGTATTGCAGGCTGTTCCTTTACATCTTCTTCTGGAGTCAAAATTGACTCTGTGTGGTTCTGAGGTGATGATTGGTTCGCTGGGGATGGTGCCTTCTTACACTGCGAAGCATGTATCCACGCAGCGATGCCAGATAGTTTAACGGCCGTCTGGGTAGTAAGCAGTACCTGATGTACCTTCCACCGGGGCTCCAAGGCGTGTTTTCGATGATGGTGCCATACGTAGACCCAATCACCTGGCTCGAGGTCAGCGTCAGAGGTGGGTTCCGTCGGCCAGGCGGCTCAAACCTGTGAATGGAAGTGACTTACAGCTTGCATTAATCCCTTGCAATATTGAAGGAGCGTACCGTGAGTCAAATTCAAGTCTGGGACTGGAGTAATGGTAGCCATAGCTCGCATAGGGCATCCCATAACAATTTCAAAGGGACTCAATTTATGCCTTTGGGATGGAGTGGATTGCATTTCCATAAGGGCCAGTGGTAAAGCCGCTGGCCAGCTTAACCCTATAGAGACACGAATTTCAGCAAGCTTATTCTTAAGTACACCATTTCGTCTTTCAACTGCACCTGCGCTTTGTGGGTGGTAGGGACAGTGCAACAGATGTGTGATATGTAATACACGATCCAGGTGTTGAACAAGTTGTCTGGTAAAATGTGTACCCCAATCACTGGACAGAGTGGCAGGAATTCCCTTGGCAGGCATAATATGATTTAACAAACATTTGGCAACAGACAGTGAGTCAGCCTTTCGACAAGGAAAGGCTTCGATCCAACCAGAAAATAAACATACCATAACCAAAATAAATTCATATTGTTGACACTTAGGCATTTGTACAAAATCAAGTTGCCAATGCAAGAATGGTGCTTGGGGCAGGCCCCAGAATCCCTGAGCCACTTTTACAGGTTTACCAATATTGTGGCTTTGGCAAGTGGTACAGGAGGCACAGTGGCGGGCTGCAAAAGAGCTGAAATGGGGGGCCCACCATCCTGCCTTAAGCAACAGAGGGTCCTGTGGCACCTTTAAGACTAACAGAGGTATTGGGAGCATAAGCTTTCGTGGGTAAGAACCTCACTTCTTCAGCTTTCGTGGGTAAGAACCTCACTTCTTCAGATGCAAGACTTGCATCTGAAGAAGTGAGGTTCTTACCCACGAAAGCTTATGCTCCCAATACTTCTGTTAGTCTTAAAGGTGCCACAGGACCCTCTGTTGCTTTTTACAGATTCAGACTAACACGGCTACCCCTCTGATACTTGACATCCTGCCTTAGTTACAGCAGATACCATTCCCTCCTTTCCGACATGCAAAACACCGTGTAGCAGGGTGGCCAGCGATGGGTAGAGTGAAAAGGGGGCCCCAAAGGCGCCAGTAGGCGAACGCCAAAGGGAATCAGGATGTAGAGAGCAACCCTGGGCAACCCAGGAGTCCTTTTCGGCTTCTGGGGCAGAGTCTTGGAGCAGGGTGAGGTTAGTGAGGGACGGCGGTGGTATAGAAACAGAAAGGGAACCTACGAATGCATCTGGGGAAGGTTCTATGGCAGCAGCACGTTTAGCAGAGGCGTCAGCAACTGCGTTACCCTTAGCAACATCAGTATCCACCATCGAGTGGCCAGGGCACTTAACAATAGCTAGGGCAGATGGAAGTAAAACTGCATACAGGAGAGCAGCGATGTAGGGGCCATTTCTGATAGGGGTACTGGCGGAGTTAAGGAAACCCCGAGCTTGCCAGAGGGTGCCAAAGTCATGTACAACCCCAAAAGCATAGCGGGAGTTAGTGTAAATGGTGGCGGAGCGTTCCTCCGCCAAAAAGCAGGCACAGGTGAGGGCAACTAATTTGGCAGCTTGCGCTGAGGTTACAGAAGGTAAAGGCGCAGCTTCTAGAGTTTCAGAGAGTGACACTACAGTGTATCCTGCAAGGAGACGACCTTGGTTGTCTCGGTGATATACGAAGCCGACAGCAGTAAAAGTTTATACCTGGTAAGGCGGGCGGAGGAGAGGTGGCCTGTGTTACGTTGTAGCAGGAGAGTTTCCACAGAGTGAGGTACCATGAGGGTAAGAGGAGAGCGGAGGACAAGGGATTCGGACATTTTGACTAGGCACGCTGCAGCAGCCACAACACGCAGGCAGGGGGGTAAGCCTTGGGCAACAGGGTCCAAAGTGGCAGAGAAATAAGCCACTGGGTGGTTTTTGTCTCCGTGCATCTGAGTGAGGACTTCCAGTGCACACCCAGATTGTTCGTGGCAGAAAAGGGTAAAAGGCTTAGAATAGTCAGGCAGCCCTAAGGCGGGGCAGAAGCCAACCCTGTTTGAGGGAAACAAAGGCAGAGTCGGCCTCAGGGGGCCACGGCATGGGGTCAGGAACAGAGACTCGAGTGAGTTCCTGGAGAGGTTTTGCAAGGGAGGCATATTGGGGAATTCATTGCCTGCAAAATCCAGCCATTTCCAAAAACTTTCGGACCTGGCGTGGGGAGCGGGGTCGGGGAAAACTGAGGATAGCTTGGACGTGGGCGGGAGAAAGTATATGGGAACCCTGGGAGAGGAGAAAGCTAAGGTATGTGACAGAGGCTTGACAGAGCTGTAGCTTAGAGCAAGAAGCCTTGTGACCCTTCTTTGCTAGGGCAGTAAGGAGCACTAAAGAATCAGATTCTGAGGCAGACAACGAAGGGGAACAGAGGAGTAGATCATCTACATATTGGACTAGTGTGGACCTGGATGGAAAAACAAAATCAGCAAGGTCTCGGGCTAATGCTTGGGAAAAGTAAGATGGGCTTTTAGTATACCCCTGAGGGAGCGTGGTCCACGTGTACTGCTGCCCCTTGTAAGAAAAGGCAAAAAGATACTGGGAGTCAGAGTGAACCGGGACAGAAAAGAAAGCAGAGCACAAATCAACAACAGTAAAATGAGTTGCACCTGGTGGGATAGAAGCCAGAATTGTTGCTGGGTTAGGGACAACAGGAAAGG